TAGTATCTGAATTGAATAAAATGTGTTGGTATGAACTGAACAATACCAAAACTGTGAATGTCTTAAATGAACATTGTGTGCATGATATCAAATGATTTGATTATGAATTTAGATTCAGTTTATATGGATGTTCGACGCATTAGATATGCTTACTCAGCTTTACCGCTGAGCGTGTAGTGTGTTTTATTTGCTACACGCAGGTACAATAGAAAGAACACTGTGATCCTGGCAGCAGATGGGGCGAGATTGTCGGGATGGATGTGACAAATTTGAAATGATTTATGATATGTCAAAATTAAATTCGCTTCCGCAATATTGTTGAATACTCCGTACTGTATATGTTATGAAAAATTATTGGGATTAATAAAGTGTGTTTGAAAAGTTTTAAATTTTTACGATTACTAAGTTAATACTTTAGTCCGGAAGGGGCTGCAGACCTGGACGGATTAGAGTGTTACACTGACATCTTGTCACTTAGTATAATTCTGAACGGTCTATAGTCGAAGCATTAACGAGAGTGGGATATCGTTAGTGCGCGTGAGATTAGTGAGAGTTAGATGTTTGACCTAGTCTCTTGGTCAATGACGGAGTGTTCGCATCTACTCTCGGGAAGATATTATCGTTAATAATAGGATGCCAGACCTAACCCACCTTAAGGGCATTGCCTTTACTTTTATTCTATGCTCTAAGTGTCCTTAATGCGACTATTGGTATAACGATCCTCAGACTTGAAGTATTACGTTCTTCGAATGTGTGAACCCGCATGCTTTGATTAATTGTCCTAAGCCGTATGAAATAAGGATGGTACACAGGCTTTGTATTGGGCATGCCGCTGCACATATTCTAAGACGTAGATTACGTACAAAGAATTTGTCACTGCTACTCAAGCAGAATAATGTCTGGTAGGGGCCCACTGATAAGTATGACTGAGGAAATGCATCGCCATGCTGAGATGAGTTTAGACATCTGTTCTCATCAGTCAGACTTGTTAATCAGTAAATAACTTAATGGCTACAAGTTGGATATTTTATATCCCTTGCACTAAGTTAAGACATTGGGACAAAAAGATCTACGTTATACAAACTCTTAGTCGTAGAAAGGTTTTGACGGAACAAACGTCTGAACTTATAATCTGGGGGTAATAATGTGTTGCTAGATACCGCTTATTACTTATAGTATTGATGTAGAGTCAATACTGTGGCCAGTTTTATAAGTGCCTATATGGGTCACACACTTTGAACAATTTAAAGAGTGAGATTATAAGAAATCATATTATTTAATTTGTATATTGTAAAATAGTAAAAATTAAATGTTCAATATAATATATATGTATATATATTATTGTACACGCCATATATATATATATATATATATATATATATATATATATATATATATATATATATATATATATATATATATATATATATATATATATATATATATATATATATCACCTTGGTTCCCATGACATTGGGAACTAATGTCATGGGATGACCCGGAAGCGCTCCAGTGCCCCGTTCGTAAAATTGACGGTTCCTACCCCCCCCTAAAAAGTAAGTTGATTTTTCTAAATATTAAATTTTATAATTTAATGTTTTTTGAAAAACGGTTTAAAATTATTTTTGCAATTATTGAGATATAATTAATATATTTGGGAAATAAATATTTATAAATTCTGTAAATTTCTTTTTCCGATTTATAAGTTTATAAAATATTTACTGGAAGTTGGAAATTAATTTTCATGATTTTTTTCAAATTTATTTCAAATTTAAAATGAATTTTGGAATAAACATTGCACTAGGGGCATTTTTGTAATTCTGTGTTTCCTGGAAATTTATTTTCCAGTTTTGCCCCTGCCCGAAAGTCTCTTAAGATATTTGGGATGACTTGATAAAATTTCATAATTTTTGGACCAATTTATGAATTTTAGAAAATATTACCAACGTAGTATTTTTCTAGAATTATCTGGGGCGAGCGCGGTTCGCCCGGTGTATGTATATCTCTATTGCCTCTGTGGATGTATGATATGTATGGTGGATGATTGTGGCTATAGTTTATTTGATTATAATACGGCCTGCGTGTCGTGCCTTATCTCTTAAACTCTCGTTGTAAATCTATTTCTCTCTCTTACCTCAACCGAGGATTCTTTTCTCACGTGGTGGTTAGAAGATAAAAGATTTGATGTCCGTTCAAGAGAATCTAAAGGAATGGAGATAGCCCGAAGTCCAAGATCCTGGAAGTCAGTGGGAGCTATCGTTTTATTTTTCCTTTAGGGGCCACAATCATTGCACGTTTATTTACTGCGTATTTTGAATGCATGTGAATGTATGTTTAACGCTAGTAAATTGACACGTGCGCGGCATGTGTCGTAGGTGAGATCGTAAAATTTAAAATCCCTCGAAATATTAAGTCTGTATTGCCTTCCGGTGCCCGGCACCTTTTTGGCTAATGTGCACTATCACGTACTCAGCCCTAGCAGAGCGTAGTACGGTGTATGTTATGCTGGTCACGGGAATCACTAAAGTGGTCATTGTGAGACGTTGGGTTAGACTTAACTGAGTCTCGATCAAATGCATGGATGACTCAGAGGCGGTTTTTGTTGGGGTCACTATACTGACAAGTCGAATTACTTTACTCACTCATCCAGCCAGAAGTTGGGTCTCTATGACTTAATTGGGCTTTGCCCTAACTAAAGTAGTTGCGCATGTGGGTACGTGCCAAAGCCAATCACATGTACGATGAAACGGTGTTCTGGTCCGTTAGTAATATTGTCGTTCGCCCAACACAAGACCAAGAACTGTGAGCGCGGCTCGACAGTTGGAACTATGTTCCTACCTAAATAGTTAAATTCTAGGTACGAACCTCAGGTCAACTGGAATTTAATGATATATGGATCTTGGCCCATTAAGCGAATCTCTAGGAGAATCTCCGAATCAACATTGAGGGTTGTTGGTTTGTTAAAATAGTGGGAAATAATTAATTAAAGGCCTAATTAATTATTCAACATGATAGATAACCTAGTTTGCAATTTCATTCTGTAGATGGCATCAAACAACACGAACAGTCATTCCATCAACCTGCGCTATATCCTCGAGAGTCAAAAACTCTCGGGGGAAAACTTTATTCGCTGGGAGTTAAATCTCCGAATCGTTCTTGAACTGGAGAGGAAGCTCTATATCCTTGATAAAGAGCCTCTAAATGCACCCGCGGCGAACGCACGCGCTGCCGAACTCGTTTCTTACCAGAAGTACGAGGACAAAGAGCGTGACGTGAAGTGCATCATCCTGGCCAGCATGATCCCGGAGCTCCAAAGGCTCCACAAGGACATGGAAGCGCGCACCATGATGCAGCGCTTGAGAGACCTTTACCAAGGTCAGGCTAGGCATGAACGCTTCAAGATCTCTAAGACTCTGTTTTCCAGCAAGCTGGCATCGGGATCTCCAGTTGGCCCGTTCGTTCTCAAGCTAATCGGCATGATTGAAATGCTTGAAAAACAGGAGGCCCCTTTGCACCCACTGCTAGCAACTGATCTCATTTTGGGAGCATTGCCAGCAGAGTATGGTCAAACTGTCGTGAATTTCTATATGAACAAACTCGACATGACCTTGGCTGAGCTGTTGAAATTCCTCACCACCGCTGAGGAGAGTCTTGGGAGAGGAAAGGCAAAGCCCGTCCTGATGGTGGAGGACGGTGCACTGGCAAAAAGAGGTGGGTCACGTCCGCCGGCCGGAAAAAGGGCAAGGGGTCCAAGAACCCCAAGCCTAGTTCCAGCCTCTCTGCGCAGAAGCCTAAAGCGGGAGCCCAGAAGAAGAAGAAAGTCGCTGCTGTCTGTTACCATTGTGGCAAGAAAGGCCACTGGAGGCGCAACTGCGCAAAGCTTATGGCAGAGAGGAAAGCGGGCAAACAGCCCATCACCTCAGGTATTTACGTTATTGAGGTCAACATGTCTGATTTCACCGCTTGGGTGATTGACACTGGATGTGGTTCTCACATCTGTACTTCTATGCAGGATCTGCATGAGGTGAGACAGTTTACAGAGGGAGAGGTTCAACTTAAAGTCGGCAATGGAGCAGTTGTCAATGCGTTGGCCGTTGGAACCTATAATTTACCTCTTCCTAGTGGTCTTATGTTGCAATTGAACAATGTTTTGTTTGTGCCTGCAATTAGCAGGAATATTATTTCTGTCTCCTGCCTTGACAAAGCAGGATATTCCATTGTTGTAAAAGACAAATGTTTGAATGTTTTCAGAAATGATATGTTTTATGCAACTGCTCGAATGACCAATGGGCTATATGTCTTAGACTTAGACGCCCCTGTATATAACAGAGATGTTAAGAGAAACAAGCCTAACGGTTTGAATCTCACATACCTCTGGCATTGTCGTTTAGGCCACATTAACGAGAAACGCATATCAGAGTTACGTGACTCTGGCGTGCTTGATTCATTCGACCTTGAGTCTTATGGTGTATGCCAATCTTGTTTACTCGGTAAAATGACAAAGGCTCCATTCACCGGTCACGGTGAAAGGGCGAGTGATGTATTAGGCCTCATACACTCTGATGTATGTGGCCCAATCAACACTGAAGCTAGAGGTGGTTTCTCATACTTTGTCACATTTACTGACGATCTCAGTCGGTATGGATATGTGTTTCTTTTAAAACACAAATCGGAATGCTTTGACAAATTCAAAGAATTCAGAAACGAAGTAGAGAAACAATTAGGCAAAAGTATCAAGACACTCCGTTCAGATCGTGGAGGTGAGTACTTGAGTCTAGAGTTTGATGACTATCTACGAGAGCACAGGATTCTATCCCAGCTCACTCCTCCTGGCACACCCCAATTAAATGGAGCTTCCGAGAGGAGGAACCGAACCTTACTCGATATGGTTCGGAGTATGATGAGTCTGACGACACTGCCAGAGTCCTTTTGGGGAAAAGCACTATTAACAGCAGCACAGACACTCAATCATTCACCATCTAAGGCTGTTGAGAACACACCATACGAGCTATGGCGTGGGACAAAACCGAATTTGTCATACTTGAGGATTTGGGGTTGTGATGTTTACGTTAGACGCCTCATGACGTCTGGTAAGCTAGATTCCAAATCTGACAGGTGTAAATTTGTGGGATACCCTAAGGAAACGAAAGGGTATGAGTTCTATCATCCGACCGATAACAAAATCTTTGTTGCTCGGAACGGAACCTTCCTTGAGAAGGAGTTTCTCTCTGCTATTTCTAGTGGGAGAAAGGTAGACCTTGAAGAAATTCGAGAACCACAAGAAGAGATCTCAATAGCAGTGGAACTCGAGCGTCAAGATTTAGTATCTCGACCGGCTCAGGTTTTACCACGTAGGTCAGACCGGATGCGTAATCCTCTGGTTAGATATGGGTTCCTTGTATCTGATGAATGGGACGTCTTACTGGTAGACCAAGGCGAACCTGAGACCTACCTCGAGGCAATCACGTGCCCCGAATCCGAACAATGGCTTAATGCCATGAAATCCGAAATGGAGTCTATGTACACAAACCAAGTCTGGACCATGGTTGATGCGCCCGAAGGGATAAAACCCATAGGGTGCAAGTGGATTTTCAAAAGGAAAACAGACGTAGACGGGAAGGTTCATACCTTCAAAGCTAGATTGGTAGCAAAAGGTTATAGACAAATCTATGGAATTGACTATGACGAAACCTTTTCTCCAGTTGTGATGCTGAAGTCCATTCGGATAATGCTTGCGATTGCAGCGTTCTACGATTACGAGATTTGGCAGATGGACGTCAAGACGGCTTTCCTTAATGGGAACCTCAAAGAGGATGTCTATATGACACAGCCTGACGGTTTTACAATTGCTGGTGAATCTGCCAAAGTCTGTAAGCTGCAACGGTCAATCTACGGATTGAAACAAGCATCTCGGAGTTGGTATATACGCTTTGATGAAACCATCACTAGTTTTGATTTCGAGAAGAATTCTGACGAGTCTTGTGTTTACAAGAAGGTCAGTGGGAGTGTGATAGCATTCCCAATCCTATATGTCGATGACATATTGTTAATGGGTAACGATGTTCCTGCTCTCACATCTGTAAAGACTTGGTTGAGCGAGAACTTCGCCATGAAGGACTTGGGGAATGCTAGTTATGCCCTTGGCATAAGAATCTACCGTGATAGGTCAAGAAAGTTGATAGGTCTATGTCAAAGTACATATATAGATAAGGTCCTTGATCGATTTAGCATGTCTAACTCGAAAAAGGGATCCTTACCTATGTTACCTGGCACGGCTCTTTCCAAGAGCCAGAGTCCTTCTA